AAAAAAAAAAAAAAAAAAAAAAAGTATAGCACTTGAAGTGGGGTGGCAAAAGGGCATTCATTTTCACTCAAAGTAGCTTGTGTGTGGCTTCAATATCAAGTAATCACACACCACAAAAGAACATCAATTTGGTACCATTTCCAAGCCACCATAATCCCAACTTGGGTTCATCACTTCGACTTTATGAACGATGATCGTGAACTTCTTTATCTTTGTTTTCAACACCATTTCATGCAAAATTCGTCTCTTGTTTTTTAAATTTTATTCAAATAATTGAACTATGTTCAAATTGGTTGTTAAGATTGTTGAAGTGATGGGGAATACAAATGTGTTTAACTAGTTTGAACCAAATCGTTTGCTTGTTCAACTTGACATAGAGCTGAATTCAAGAATAGTATTTTCTAAACAAAGAAAATGTTTCAAATCATAAGAATTTGCTTATAAGATCGTTGTATAATCATTCATTTCTTCGTTCCCAATCCCAAAATCAATTTTAATTCTTCACATTATCCATATGCCTCTTAAAAGTCAAATCCCATAACAATGATTAAACTCATATGAGCTCTACTAACTTAGTGGGTTGTTCAACTTTAAATTATTTAATAATCCAATAAAAGTGAAGGAAATGAAGAGGATACGACGTCGTAGAGTCCCAAATGCAAGAACAATATTAAATATATATATTATCTTTATTTTGCATTAACCAAATGTTCCTTTTAATTATCACATATAATGAGAAATTACAAATTTTATTTCAATAATTACATAAATATCAACTTTTTAATTTTTGTTTTGGTGTCGCATTATTTATTCAACATATATATTGAATCATATTTGTTACAAAATTTAATTTACACCAAATATAGTATTGTGTGGGAAGCATACAAAACAAGTTTAATAAATTTTCTTTTAATGTTATTAATGACATACAAAATAATTGCAACATCTTAAGCCTACTTTTCGTCCAAAAAAAAAATTGAGGTCGAGAGAATGACAGTTAATTATCATAAGGGTAAATACCAATTAAATTGTCTGTTTTAGCCTTTTCACCCTGATAAAGAATGTTTCGTATCTCTCTCCTAACTAATGTACCAGTTAAATCCTTGCTGGCATACTTCTCGGTGTCTGACTCTAATACCATTATCAAAATATCTACTCGTTTAAACTATTATCGAGCAATGAGCACATCTGAAGGGTTTGAAATACAAACTTTTGATAGAGAGTCTAACAATTAATATTCTCTCGACGATCTAAGATTCCATTCATGATCATTCGAATGTTTACGTTAGATGGAAGTCTTTAGTAATTAATTAATATTGTTTGATCGTCTGGATCGACAACTACTAAATTAGAGATTCGAGAGGACGATATAAACTTGTCTACAGGTCCAACAAACCAACGACGTTAAAAGATAAATTAAGAATGAAATGTCGTTGGTGATGGATTAGTGAATGTCAATTGGATGGGATCTACACATTTCCAAGCCACTATCTCTCATAAAACTTAGTTTAAACACGCAACCATTTCCTATCACCATCTTCATCATTATATATTTTAATACATATCTTTATATTAAAATAAACCCATCCCACATTAACAATGTCACGCTCATTTCTAACTATATCTTAAAATAAAATTAAAAAAACATCATTATCATATCATTAAATAAGAACATACATGTCTGCTAAAACAAATTAATAAGCTACTTAATTGAATTTGAATGTAATTAATCATTCTTAATCTTGTTTTGTGTGTGCGCGAGTGTTTGTCTATAAATCCCAAATTCGGCGCTTTCTTTCTTCCAACACACACTCACACATGATCGGATTCTTGGTTCCCTTTCGTTCTTTGTCTCTTTCACTTTGATTTTGTTTCTTTTTCGCCATTTCTCCACTGTATCAGAATTTTCAGCTCTGCCCAGAATCAAATTTTGCTGTTTCAGGTCAGTTCTTCATCTTGTTCTTCGTGTTCTTCCGGTTGAAGAAGATGGGGTTCTGCTTGTTTCAAGATTAAGAAAGAAAGAAAGATCATTATGTTTTTTTACTTAAATTTTTGAAGGTTTTTCTGTGTTTTTCTATGGTGGTTCTCTTGAGGTTTGTGAAAAGGAATTTAATATAATTTGTTGAAACCAATAATTAGTTTTTTATTCCGTTCTTGTTTGTGGCTATTTTTTGTTTTATATCACGGGATTTGTTAATCTGTTTGTACCCAGAAACCAAATTTGATGTATAAATAAATAATTGCAGTTGTTTTGACTTATCTGTAAGTACCCATCTTTTATATGAAGCTTCGTGGTCGACCCCCCAAATTGCCCAATTCGGTGCGGAAGTTTTCACGAAGAACACGCCCTCTCTCTCTCTCTCTCTCTCTCTCTCTGTATCTCTCTCACACAATTCATTTACGAGAAAGTGATGGAAATTCCCAAATTGGTGAGTACTTTTTTCAGTTTTGTTATGATCTGTTCTTCTTCCCCTGTTTTTTTTTTTTTTTTTTTCCCACTGATTTGCTTTAATTTTCGTGTTAGAATTCGGCTGTTCTTCGGGAAGTTGATGAATTGGAAGAAACGAAAAATTCCCAGAAAATTTCAGTTTGTAATCAGCCAAACGGAGTGCATTACTCTGCAAATTCCGATAGCTTCGTCATCGATATGAATGGGTTCTCCAATGGCGGAACTAAAGAACCCAACACAAATCCCAGAATTACAGTACGTTTTTTCTTTGCGGGTTTTGTTATGAATTTCGAATTGCGATGAAAAATTGGTGACGCTTTTGTTGTGATTCTTACTTTTTTTTCAAAAAAAAATTGAAAGTTGCAGAGAAATTTATCCCGAAAAGGGTCTCAGCGTGGCGGCGACAAGATGATTGCTAGCAATACCGCTCCTATGGATAGAGATTCATCATCTCCAACAGGTATCATCATCATCATCTTCGATAAAAATAGAAGATGATGAACAAAAAAAGGAAAAAAAATAAGTAATTTTGTTTTATATATTTGATTATAATACTAAATATTATATTGATGTGCGCCAGTAGTGGGATCGAGCCAACCTGTGGTATGAGATGGGCGATTCTGATTCATTCGACTGAACTTATTATACGTTTGAATAATGTTTTTGTTTATATATAATTGCATTTAATGTGCACGTTTGGTGGGGGTTTTAAATTTTGGCAGAGAATTTCTGGGACTTTGGTTAAATGTCAGTGACAATGTTTTTTTTATCTTAACTCGACACAGAATATTTCAACTTGTTTGAGCAGTTCATTTGAAAAACAGGGGAAAACAGAGTTTGAATTTTGGAAAATTGTGGGTCCCCTGAATTGTGCAATTTTCAGTTGCAGTTGGAGCTACCATGGCGGAAAAAGCAGGGGCGGCGGTGGCAGTGGCAGTGGCAGTGGGGTCACAGCAAGATCATTTGGGAGTGGCACAAGTTCATCATCAGATCACTATAACCACAGCGAACACGGCGGCGGCGCCGGTTGAACGAGGCTTTCTTAGAAGAAACAGCTTCAGGAGGCCTTCATCTTCGTGGTTTTTGGACCCCAAGAAAGTTCTTCTCTTGTTTGCCACTGTGTAAGTTCTGTCCCTGTATGCATCAAACTTGGTTATTTTCAGGCTCTAAATGGTGTTGTGTTTGGTGCAGGTCGTGTATAGGGAGCATGATACTGATATACTTCACCTTGGCCATCGGGAAACCCGACGCCGAGGAGCGGGGATTTGATTAATTATAACTGCAGGGAAAGGAAGAAGCAGAAGAACACACACAACAGAACACAGATATGAGAATGACTTGAAGATGTTTGTACAAAGAGATAGAATGATGGGAAAGACAAAAGTGCAGATTAAAAGCAAGAAGAACAGCAGGTTTTCTCATGGTTGGCACATTTACATTAGTTTATTAGGAAAGGAAGAAAGTGACAAACTAGAATGTGACAAAGGAATGGAATCTTTTCCCTTTTTTTTCTTTTTGTTTTGTTTTGTTACGAAAATTGACAGATGAAAGAGTTCAGAACACAAACGTGGTTCACTTGTGATTTGAAGCAGTGTGGTATCTGCTACGATTAGTGGAGGGTTTGGTGGTGTGACTGATCTGATTTGGTTGATTTGGTTACTCTTCAAATACTTTAAAGTTCTCCTTTTCCTCCAATATTCATTGTTTATAAGTGCCATTTCTTTGTATTCTGTGGCTTCCATGTGAGCAACAACAGTGGGCTACACGCCTACAAACACCAAGTGTGTATTTGAATGTCCTCAATGCATGCGCATTTCAATTTGTTCAACCCGTGTTTTTGTTTGATTCCTAGAGCAATACTTTGGCTTGGGGGGGGCCTATTGTGAGATCTTACGTCGGTTGGAGAGGGAAACGAAACATTTCTTAGAAGGGTGTGGAAACCTCTCTCTAGTAGATGCGTTTTAAAACCGTGAGGCTAATGAAGCATTTCTTAGAAGGGTGTGGAAACCTCTCCCTAGTAAGGCATATTCAAACCATGAGGCTGATAGAAGAGGTCAATATCTGCTAGCGGTGAACTTAGGCTGTTATAAATGGTATTAGAGACGGGTACTGACTAGAGTGCGAGGACGCTGGCCCTAAGAGGGTGGATTGTGAGATCCCACGTTGGTTGAAGAGGGAAACAAAGGGTGTGAAAAACTCTTCCTAATATCCCTAATAGAAGCATTTTAAAACCGTGAGCCTAAAACTATAAGGCTGACGGTAATACATAATGTGTTAAAACGAACACTATCGAACTTGAGCTATTACACCTATCATGGGCTATACCCATCTTTTTGCAACCCACACTCACACTTAGGTTGGAACCTAATGCTAATTGTTTTGTTTCGAAGCAAACCACGGGACCTCATGAGAAAATGATCCCCCCACAAACAAAGGTGCAGAACTTCTCTTATTCCCATTTCAGGATGTGATCTTATTCACAGGCATTTAATCAACTGTTTCAAGTAAAACAAGAAGCGATAAACGTTGCAAATGGAAAGTGACTTTAGACCATGCTTGTAGAAAGAAGGAAATGCATTCAGTAAAGGTATTAAAGTTCTATATCGAGACTAACAAGATTGAGCGACATCTTATTGAGCACTGATACCATCGTGCCTTCATGGCTTATAGCTTTAATGTCTCTAGTAGCGCTTTGATATCCTTGGCATCGAACACTTGTGCTTTCTATCGTGGTAAAGCCTCAATATGACAGCGGCAGTTTCTTCTATGGCCTTCCCTGTCACCTCTGCAAGCCAAGCAGATAAAACTACAGTCAATAACAAATGGCAGAACATATCTATGTTTTGATCAACTTAATACCTATCACAGGCCATGTGGGGTTTTGAGCAAAGATCTTTCCAGCAAAATCCAGTTCCCTTCTAACAAAATCCATTTCTGAATAGGTACTTCTCATTTCATCACAAAATCCCAAACTCTTGGCTCTTGCTCTTCTTATTGTTTGCAACACAATCGGATTTATAGTCAAACCAAACACCTTTTCAGGGTCTGCTTCGAACAGGTTCTTTGGGAGTTTAATCCCCATTACAATCGGCACATTAGCCACTTTATATCCCTTTTGTGCAAGATAAATGGACAATGGCGTCTTCCCTGTTCGAGATACACCAGCAAGAACAATGTCAGCTTTGTTCAAGTTTTGTGGCAATGCACCATCGTCTTGTTTGATTGTAAACTCAATAGCTTCAATCCGACGAAAGTACTCATCGGTAAGCGGGAGATTATTGCCGAAAGCCCCACGAGGAAGACCGGACGGTGAGACACCGAGATGCGATGCAACAACTTCTGTTAATGGCCCCAGTATGTCATTGGATTGAATGCCCCACAATTTGCAAGCTTGCTTTGCAGATTCAGCCATGAATGGATCAGCTAAAGTATAAACAAGCATAGCGCCCTCTTTGGCTGCTTGTTTTACTATCTCCCGTAATCGCTCTACATCATCAACCTGCCATGTGTGTGTGTTTTGTTTGTAACAGCAAAAATTCAGTGCAAATTCAAAAGACTTAATCTAACGCCCTACCAGCTTCCTACAAAACCCTAATCATATATGAATTGGGAAAAGTTTAGAACGTCCGATTGCGAAACAAATTAGAACAAAAAGAGAAACAACAAAATCGGTAAGAAGAAATCCAGAATTACCCCAGAGAACAAATGGGTGCTAACAGGGCAAACACGATCGACCAAACAGTGAGTGAACTGACCCAAGGCAGCGGTGACGGAGTGCTCCACCGTCCATCCAGTGCCATCAGACACCATATAAATGGACTTCCCAACTATTCTCTCCACATCATCGTCGCCATCTCTTCCTTTAAGAGCAGGTTCCAGTGGGGCTCTGTCAGTGGGCGAATCGGGAGAACGCAGCTCGACAGCCTGAGCAGTCCGATTGCTGTGGCGCTCCAATTTGTGCCCCGATCGTAAAGCGCGAGCCCTAGACCAGCGATTCAATTGGGGGCTGCCCTTGGGTTTGCGAACCTGTGGCCCGGATTCGGAGGATGATTGGTTGTTGATGATAGAATTGGAGAAGGGAGGTTGGTTTCTAGGTTTGGGAGTTGGGTAACTGGGCGTGTGAGGGGTGATGGACCAGCTGAAGGTGGAAGAAGCCATTCCAGTAATGGGAAATTCAAATCATCGATAACTCAGCAGAGATTCAGTGAAGACGATGATGGAAAGAAATTTCTGGAGGTTCTGTAAATGTTCCTCACAGTATGAAAACGGTCGATCAGTTCACAATTTCAAAATATCTTCCAATCTTTGTTCGTCACAAAAATATCTTCACTCCCTTTTTTTGATCTATCATCGTAGCTCTCTAGCTCCACATGTGTGATATTGTCCACTTTCAACCTAAGTTCGATTAATTTCGCTTTAGAGAAGTTTGGTTTGGATTTCTTCAAATGTCTCGTACCAATGAAGAGAGAGTACTCTTGATTTATAAACACCGATTTATAATTTATAATGGGAGGTATTGGATCATGGGTTTATTAAAAAAAAAAAAAATACTTTCTCAATTGGGACGAAGGGAAGCCCAAAGCAAAACCATGAGAGCTTATGCTGACAATATTATATCATTGTGGAAAGTCGTGTTCATCTAACATGGTATCAAAGTAATGCCCTAAACTTAATCGTGTCAATAAATTGGTAAATTCTCAAATGTGAAACAAATGACTCCAAAAGAAAAGGAGTCGAGCCTCTTCGAAGACATAGTAAAAAAATGACTAAGACTCCAAAGGAGTCGAGCCTCGATTAAGGGGAGGCATACTTTGTTCGAAGGGAGGTGTTGGATGATGAAAGTCTCACATCGGCTAATTTAGGACATGATCATGGATTTATAATCAAGGAATACTATCTCTATTGGTACGAGATCTTTTGGGGAAGCCCAAAACAAAATCACAAGAGCTTATACTTAAAGTAGACAATATCATATTATTGTGGAGAGTCGTGTTCATCTAACCGACCTAATGAAACCTAATCTGTTCATGCAAGCTTCAGCCATAGGGCGCAGTAGAATGATTTTCTATGAAGCCCATCCAAGTCAAAAGGCCCAATCCGCCTTCCAAAGTTTTAGATCTTTTTTGTTAGGCTAAATTAATAAATTTTATAAAAAAAATTACTTTTAAAATTTTAAATTTTTTAATAATATCAAACTTTAAAATAATAATAATAATAATAAATATCTTTCCCCGTGGCAACTTGGGCTCAACTTTAATGAAACTGAATTTTATGATAGAGTAATTTTAACAACATTCGTCATATATCTTCTCTAATGTAAGATTCATATATCTTGATATATGTCACAAAACTACGCTACCAGTGTCGATTTTACTTTATAACTTATTTATTTAAAAAGAAAACACATTTATTGTCTTTTTTCTGTCTTTTCGTCATAAGACAAATTTGGGCAACCCAATCTTGAAACCATGCTTCCGAACATCCTCTTGAACCTGATTCCTAAATTCTCTAAAACTAAACCTTCTGTAAACTCCAGGCTCGCATTTGCTTTTTATTACTGTCTCGCTCCAAGGACAGAAGAAATAAGCTATTGAGAATCTCTCCAACTTCGAGTTCGTCACAACTCTATGCTCGACGCTCTTGTAAACATTGTTGCTCCAAGCCTACATTTAAATTTAAAATTATTATAAATATTCTATTAATAAAATAATAATAAATATAAATATATTTGACCTGAAACAAGTCGCCGATGTTGATTATAAGAGCCTCGGGGTTGGGTTTAACGGCGATCCACTCCCCGTCCTTGACCAACTCCAAGCCACCGACTTGGTCTTGGTGAAGAATGGTCAAAAAATCGCTGTCCGTGTGAGGCATGAGTCCGAATACCCGACCCGGAACCGAGCATGGCGGGTACCGGTTCATCCGGAGATAGCACGTGCTTGGCACACAATTGTCAACGAAGAATTTTGAGCTCCTCCCCAAATTCTCTCCCAAAATCTCCGCTAGCTCTTGCGCCAACCTCGAAACTTTCCCCGCGAATTCTTCCATTGTTGACCTGCTTAATATTTAACACCAGAATATAATTATTTAAATATAATTTTTAAAAATTTGGAATAATGCATGGATTTGCATGTTTGGAAGGTACCTGAGATCATCGGAGCCGTTGGATCCAAGAATATCGGAGAGAGAAACATGGAAGGCTTCCGACCAAGAGAGCTGGGTAAGAGAAGTGGCGGTGGGTGTTCCCCAACGGTAACTTCCGGCGGAGAAATTCAAGAACATGTCCTCCTTACTCTTACGCTCAAACGGCTGTTTAAAAAGCCCAATTTGTTTGGCTCTCATCTTACCCAAAAGCTGACTCGAAACCCCATGATTCACAACTTGAAAAAAACCCCATTCCTGAGAAGCTCTAATTATATCGTTTTTGCACTGTTCCACTTCCCCGACCTCCGCTCCGTCCCTCAAACGCCTCAAATCAACCACCGGAAGCTCCCATTCCTTCACCGCCACAGCGTCGCCTCCCCTCTCCACCGCCGTCTCCGCCAAGAGACTCTTGTAAGCCTCGTGAAATGGTGGGTCCATAGCCACGTTGGCAGACTGATATAATTATCCCAAAAAAATTACGACGATTTAAAAGGAAAGCTTTGTTGTTGATGCTCTTGGTTTGTAGTGTTTAGATTTATATAGAATATTTTCACCCTCCAAAATTAATATTTATTTTAACATATAGTCTGTACCTTCCGAACACCCATTTTATATAAATAATATTATAATTAACCAAAGTTTGAATGCACATAAATTAAATTAATTTTGTGACAGGAAAATGAAAGAAGTCAAGGGGATCAGGTGCTGGAAGGAACGAGAAGAAGTACCCAGTGCATGTCAGTTTGCCATGAAATAAACAGGCCATGCCTGATATTACATGTGACTCTGCCTCAATCAATTTTTTTTTTTTTTTTAATTTTCGGAAAAAAAAATCAACTTATTTAATAAATTTATGTATTTTGTATATATAATTAAAAATAATAAATTATTTTCACGTTTCTAAATTTTAGGCTTTATACGAAAAAGTGGGACTAATTTTAAAAAAAGAAGAGACCCACTAAATGATAAACTAATTATTTTGTGGCCACAGCCTTGATTTACGACCCAAAATAAATAAATAAATATAATTTATTTGGTTGAGATGACTAGGCGTAGGGCAAGGGCTTTTTAGTGATTGAACATCGTGACCAAATATCAAAATAACAACTTTTAATAGAAATATGCTTTATTTATTTATTTTTTTTTATATTTTTAAATAATAATAAAAAAATATATTTCACCCTTGTGTTGATGGGACGTGGCTGTGACGTGGAAAATTACAGCAAATAAGGATAAAGATGACAGCGAGGTTGGTGTCTATCTTAGGAACCAAGGGATTTAAACTTAATTTTAATTACTAATTTATAAATGCAATAATAATTAAGGAAATGAATTATTAGAAAGAAAAGAAAAGAAAAGAATTTGAATATAATATATATATAAAAGAAAAGGGAATTATTTAGATACTTGGAACTTTTCTGAAAAAACAAAGAGAGACAATTACAGTTAAATTATGAAGAAAATATAAATAAAAAATAAATCGGGAAAGATCTAAAATGGCGAAACATAAGGTTCGATGTGTGCCCATTCTTGTGTACAGACATAACAGCTCTTAACAAAACGAATAAACAAAAGAGAGCACCTCAATTCCCCACGCACGCGCTGTTCTTATTCTAACCATTTTCGTAAAATATATTATCTAATTTTTCAATAATAATAATAATAATAATAATAAATCAATTTAAATATAGCTCAAATGATGATACAGTTACCTGGTTTAACGTATGTATCATAATTGAGCTGGGTGGAAGAGTTAGGGTGGGATATATAATTGGAGAGAGCGTGACAGAATGGGATGGCGGAATGGGGGAGGGTTAGTTATATAGGGAGGGGGGAATGGTTGGATGGAGAAGATAAGAGACGAAGGGGAAATGAATGGACACAGAGGTTCAACGTAAACCCACGTCCCAATATGTGTTGACGCAGAATGAACAGAGTGAGCACGCACGCGGCTCGCGGAGGCATCATACAAAAATATTTTTAATTACTTTTACTCACCCAATTCAAATTGGTTTTATTTTACCTTGACTTGGTTCAATATGCACCGTTTGAATCTTTTTTATTTTTATTTTTTTATATATATTATATATATAATTGGTAATGGACCCGACCGACTCGACCGATTCATATTTGAAACATCATGCCCCTTTCGTTCGATGTTTGTAATAATAATAATACGTGGCGGAATGTAGAATCACATGCATGCAGATGCAGGTTCTAACTACTTTCTAGTTTATTTATTTATAGGTTGATTATTAATTATAATTAGAAGTTGAGTAGAGAAGGAGGGAATTTGAAAGGGACATGCAAGCCATGTGGGTTGTTTAGGTGATAATGAAAGGGCTTTGGAGTGGAAAGGGAGGGGAGGGGGAACAGGACCACCCTCAGTATCTTTGCCCCTCATTGGTCTCTCTCTCTCTCTCGAAATATTTAAAAGAAAAAAGAAAAAGAAAAAGAAAAGGGTTCCCAAAATATCTCCTGGCCTCAATGTTTGACCATTCTAGTCGGCAAATCCACAAAGTATATTAAATTCATTTGTCTTAGAATCGTACAATAATACACACACTCACTCGATTTAGATGAACACAAAAAATATAAAAAACTATGATAGAGAAAATATAAAAAGAATATTGACTAAAAGTTTTATATTGATGAAGAGATAATAGGGAGAAAAAGTACATTTTTACACCTTCACACCTCTGAATGAGGATATATATATATATATAGTAGATATGATAGTAAAAAGTATATATAGTAGATAGTTATATATAATAGATGGTTATATCGGGTAAAACTATATATATGGTAGTAAATAGTAGTAAAAAGTATATATGGTAGATAGTTATATATATATATATAGTTTTACTGCTATTTACTTTATATGTCATTTGCCATATATAGTTTTACTATGTAATCTGTCTCCATAACCTAACAATTTGGAAATTTGGAGGTATCACATGCTTTTAGACGGTGGTTCGATGAGATTCTGTATCGATTAGAGGGAGAAATGAACTATTTATTACAACGGTGAAAATTTCTTTTTAATAATTATATTTTAAAATTGTGAAGGTGACGATATTATGTGTTTGGATTATTACGTAATGTGTGGTAATTAAGAATTGAAAAGTTATTAGTGGTTGAAAATGGTAATAATAATAGAATAGAAAGAAGAAATGGAGAAGAGAGGG